GTCCAGTTTTGGACCCCCGTGCAAAAGAAACGTGTTTCAAAAAGGGTCAGAAAGTGGCCCCGCTTGAAATCAAAAGTGGTCCCCCCTGGAGGGTCCAGTTTGGTCCCTTTTTGACCCCTTCATTGTGGCAAATTTGTTGAGGCGTTTATTTCAAGTTGAAGCTGATTTGACCAGCAACAGCTGCGGCTGGAATCTTGAACTGGGGAGGCCCATTTTTGCGCGCCTGCTTTTTCTTACGTTTTGAGGTCCAAAAAAAGGCCCCTTCTTTGTCACATTGTTTTGCTCCAATTTCCATAGCCTTGAGGCCCTTGAGGCCGGCCTCGAAGCCTGCCCTGACGTGTTTTGTTCTAATTTCCATGGTCTCGCGACACTGGAGTTCAAGACTTGCATTGAGGCCTGCCTCCAACTTTGTTTCATCCTATAATTTTTTTTGGTTTGTTGCAATTTCCATAACCTTGAAGCCTCGAGGCTTGCCTTGAGGCCGTCCCTTTGCGCCAGCTGCGGCTTAAAATTCTAGCGAAGCAGCACAGGCACCAACTACTTCAAGTTCAGCCTTGCTGCGACTTCAAGAATGGCATTATATAGTTTCGAGTCCCTATGAGCCTCGCTTTGTCCTTGTGCCAATACGTTTTGCGTCCGCGGCGTGGCCTCGCCCAGGCCTCGCCGAGCCTCGAGGCACCTCGATTGCATGCTTTGGAAACATGCGACCTCTTGCATCAACACAATAGAAAGGGAAAGGTTGCCTGATCAAGACAAGAAGGTACAAGAGGCTAGTTTTGGGGTTTGTTTTTTGCACCTGAAACTGATATGATTTTTGGAGACGGAGTTGGGGCCTCCCTTGTTCGAGGCCCTTTTTGCCAACTCGATGTTGGCTTGTGTGAGGTTGATGTGTTTCTACATTGGAACAGCGCAGCTGAAGAAGGAGCATGGGTGGGCTTAAAACTGGACCTTCAAGGAGGCACCGGATTCAACCTGCTGAGGGTCCAGTTTTGGACCCCCGTGCAAAAGAAACGTGTTTCAAAAAGGGTCAGAAAGTGGCTCCGCTTGAAATCAAAAGTGGTCCCCCCTGGAGGGTCCAGTTTTGGTCCCTTTTTGACCCCTTCATTGTGGCAAATTTGTTGAGGCGTTTATTTCAAGTTGAAGCTGATTTGACCAGCAACAGCTGCGGCTGGAATCTTGAACTGTTCGAGGCCCTTTTTGCCAACTCGATGTTGGCTTGTGTGAGGTTGATGTGTTTCTACATTGGAACAGCGCAGCTGAAGAAGGAGCATGGGTGGGCTTAAAATTGGACCTTCAAGGAGGCACCGGATTCAACCTGCTGAGGGTCCAGTTTTGGACCCCCGTGTTTCAAAAAGGGTCAGAAAGTGGCCCCGCTTGAAATCAAAAGTGGTCCCCCCTGGAGGGTCCAGTTTGGTCCCTTTTTGACCCCTTCATTGTGGCAAATTTGTTGAGGCGTTTATTTCAAGTTGAAGCTGATTTGACCAGCAACAGCTGCGGCTGGAATCTTGAACTGGGGAGGCCCATTTTTGCGCGCCTGCTTTTTCTTACGTTTTGAGGTCCAAAAAAAGGCCCCTTCTTTGTCACATTGTTTTGCTCCAATTTCCATAGCCTTGAGGCCCTTGAGGCCGGCCTCGAAGCCTGCCCTGACGTGTTTTGTTCTAATTTCCATGGTCTCGCGACACTGGAGTTCAAGACTTGCATTGAGGCCTGCCTCCAACTTTGTTTCATCCTATAATTTTTTTTGGTTTGTTGCAATTTCCATAACCTTGAAGCCTCGAGGCTTGCCTTGAGGCCGTCCCTTTGCGCCAGCTGCGGCTTAAAATTCTAGCGAGGCAGCACAGGCACCAACTACTTCAAGTTCAGCCTTGCTGGGACTTCAACAATGGTATTATATAGTTTCGAGTCCCCATGAGCCTCGCTTTGTCCTTGTGCCAATACGTTTTGCGTCCGCGGCGTGGCCTCGCCCAGGCCTCGCCGAGCCTCGAGGCACCTCGATTGCATGCTTTGGAAACACGCGACCTCTTGCATCAACATAATAGAAAGGGAAAGGTTGTCATAATCAAGACAAGAAGGTACAAGAGGCTAGTTTTGGGGTTTGTTTTTTGCACCTGAAACTGATATGATTTTTGGAGACGGAGTTGGGGCCTCCCTTGTTCGAGGCCCTTTTTGCCAACTCGATGTTGGCTTGTGTGAGGTTGATGTGTTTCTACATTGGAACAGCGCAGCTGAAGAAGGAGCATGGGTGGGCTTAAAACTGGACCTTCAAGGAGGCACCGGATTCAACCTGCTGAGGGTCCAGTTTTGGACCCTCGTGCAAAAGAAACGTGTTTCAAAAAAAGGGTCAGAAAGTGGCCCCGCTTGAAATCAAAAGTGGTCCCCCCTGGAGGGTCCAGTTTTGGTCCCTTTTTGACCCCTTCATTGTGGCAAATTTGTTGAGGCGTTTATTTCAAGTTGAAGCTGATTTGACCAGCAACAGCTGCGGCTGGAATCTTGAACTGTATTGTTCCAGAAAAATCGCTCAATTGAAATCAGGCTTTCCATGTGCGGGCCTGCTCTGGTCCAACTCTATCTTAGAAAAACGCAGTTGTAATTTTTTGTTTGTTGCACCGGTCGGCCTCCCTTGCTCCTTTCCAAGAGAAGTTTGCCAAACTCTTCCTCACCATTGCTGCGGAGCTATGGCTGAGAGGACGTCCGGAAGCCATTGTCAGCACTTTTCAAGTAGTGGCTCGAAGTGTTACGATCCGCTTAGCGGAGAGACTTGCTAAGTATATTTGTTCGCTCATGAGGCCCCACCCATCTTTGCACCAAGATGGCTGACATAATTTACCTTTTGCTTTAATTAATAAGCTACATGCAACAGCGTGTTGATCGACCTGGCGAAAGCTAAGAGGCGATGGACGGAAAAAAACAGAGTGCTGTGAAGGTGTTTGCTAGAATATGGCTTGGAAGAATTAAAAGATGTGGTAACTTGTCGGTTGGATCTTATGTGAATTGGGCTTAAAGAACGGCGTGTGAATACAATGCATGAGGTACTATGCTGGCGTTGTGCTTTCACTGTCATTAAAAAACATTTGCCTGGCCTTATGATTCTTTGACAGTTTCATGACACATCCCTTTAGACTCTTAACGTGGTTTCGACAGCCCCAAAGATATGGAGTAGACGCTGTGTGGAGTCATTGATTTTAGAAGCAAACAACTGTGTATACCCATTTTTCCGGGGAAATTACTCCACCTCATTCCTATTGTGAAGAACATGATTTTTTGTTTCCTGCACGTCTATAAAATTACTCCGCCGCCGTGGGGCGAGGACCGTGAAGGTAGCCACCGACTATCTTCGCAGTTTGCTGGTTGGACTGTTTTTGATTTTGGGGATCCCTATGTCATGGCAATTAGCAGCGTTGTCACAAGAGGTCGGCTGGATTTCATCATGGTCCATCTCTGTTCTCCCGGATAAGTTGCAGAGAATTATTGGTCAGCTGGAGCACATCAGCAAATTGAAGAACCTGCAGTCTCTCATTGGCAGAGTGCTATGGCTCACCTCGGCATGGCACTACTTGAGACCGATGATGATCCCGTTATATAGTGCTCTGCATCACATCCCGGTCACAATTATTGGTATGGACCATATGACTTTCCAACTGTTCATATCGGCCTTATCGCCAGGAATTGATTTTGAACCAGGACCTCACTTACAAGCATCAATCTTTGCTTCAACACGTGACAAATTGGTACGGCTTGCTAACTCCCATGTTAGTACCTTGGATGATGTTCCCAAATTTCACCTCAAATCACGACGTGTCTGGGTTCGCATCACTGATCCTTCTTCACCTCATCGCACGTTGGATGCTGAAGCCCTGGCGGCTTTGTCAGTTTGATCAAAGCTATTGGTGTCGACACCTTTCTCCTTGTCTATGACACCTGCAACCCCCGTTGATTTGACGGCCACAGCTGATGCCATGGCCTCTAAAGAACTTGCAGGTCTTGGTGGGGCAGCGTTCTTTCCAGATGGGTCTGCAGTGTGGTATCAAGTCCAAATTTCCCTCTCCGAAGCTGGATCGATTTGGGACTGGGTTGGTGATGATATGCAGCAACACATTGCGGCATGGGAGTTCCTTACACAATTTGCCCTCACATTTTGCATTGAATCTCACCTGCCCAGTTGTCATGGTCCGGTATCGTGCCATCAGGCCACAGACAACCGTGCCGCAGATGCAACATCAGCGAAAGGATTTTCCATGACCCTTGCACTTCAATTCGATGTTTTCAGATTTTCCCAAGCGTGTCGCATATCCCAGGCCATTTGAATGTCCTGGCGGACTCGCTGAGTCGTTTCAAGCAGCATCTCCCAGTGGAACTCCCTGCAGCCAATCGTTGTGAGGTGAACTGGAAGGGGCTCCTTGCTTCGGTCACTGTCCACATTGCACAGACAGGTCGAAAGTGGCCCAAACACTTTGGCATCTGATTTTATAAAAAAGAACTGCTGCAGTCCGCTGACTGCTGGGGTTTTAGATCGATTGTCTTTTGGGGAGTTCTAACTCCGGCTGGTCGATTTTTGATTGTTTATTGGTGCTGTTGAACTCCCCACTGCTTTTTATCAACTGCTTTGCCCCCCCGGATTCTGGGATTGTATTTGACAGTTGTTTGGGGGTACCATTTGGTCCACACCGATTCTGTACATGATGGGCCCGCTGGTTCTATCCTTCCGACATGTACAGTGATGGATCAGATCAGACGCACCACGTATAGAACAGTGCTTTTGAATTGCGGCAGCTACTTTGTGTTAGATGGTGATATGTTTAGTAAGCAAGACAACGGCAAGCGAACTAAATTCTGATGTGAGGTGATGAACTGCTGTGAATCAACCGAGCTCTGGCTTACAGGTTTGAATGTCAAACTTTTCAATGTGAAACAATGTCAATGACAATGGTCGCAACTTCAGCATGTTACATGTTTCTTTCTTTGTGGAAATTTTTCACGTCGGGGGGTTTTTCTTTGATGCCATGGATGAATTCTTGTCCACAGACTTGGTTGCCGACGTCGACGAGGCCACGGACCTGTTTGCAGCATCCGATGCTGGTGAGCCCGAGGGTGACTCAGATCCTTTAAAAGGATTCAGGTTACGGTGGGCCAAGAAAAGAAAAGTCGAAGAAGATGAAATTGTGCCATCTCCAAGTTTGGTCAGTTCAGATTTTCTTGCACAGAATCAGCAACAGGTTTCAGAGCCGCCATTGTCAGCTGCTACTGACAGAGACCACACTACGTCTGTCACCAATGCTTTCCTAACTGGTATGAAACCCTCAACAATTGTGTTGCCCTGGGAACAATCATGGTTGGCACCAATCTTTGGTGATCCTCTTGCGGCACCGTCATTGAGCATGCCAGCAAATTGGAATGCCCAGCTTTTGGATCCCATTGTAGATGTCTTCCCAGGTGTCGAGGTGCAACCAAAAGAGCCGTTGGTATTTGCAGTTTCGAAATGCATAAAGAACAGGGTTGACAGATCGTTCATCGATGAGCGTGCGGTCCAGACTGACAAGGCGATTGCAAAGTTGAAGTGCCTGTTGGAGATTGAACTTGAGTTCAGTGGTGTCGGACGACAACTGATGAGCGAGGCAACTGAGCAGGGCAGGAGTGACGTCTTGCTGGCAATCCTGGGAACACGCAGCCCCGGGACAGTCATTAAGAGGGTCAATGCATTGCTTCATTTTTACAGATGGTTTTGCACGCAGTTTGAACTTGAATTTCTGCCCATGTGTGAGAACGTGGCTTGGGAGTACATCCAGCACTTGAGGACCTCGAATGCAGCCCCCACAAAGGCAACATCATTTGTTCAGGCACTGCGTTTTGGGCACTACATACTTCAAATTGATGGAGCAGAGGCGTGCATCAACAGCAGGAGAATTATTGGATCTGCAGAGTTACAGCTGGCCATGAAGTCGGCGACAAAGCAGGCAAGGCCATTGACCGTCGCCGAGGTCAGAAAGTTGCATGCCGTGACTACTGACCAGTCAGCAAGTTTGCAGCAGAGGGTATTAGCATCACACCTTCTTATGATGCTGTACACCCGGAGTCGGACGAGCGACCTGGCCCATGTTCATGAAGTTCTCCATGATGTGAGTGCGAAGGCATCCTCATCTGGTGCCCCCGACTTCATACAGATTTCGACGAGGTATCACAAGGCGGCCAAGAGTGCTGAGAAGAAAAGTCTTCTCTTGCCAATCCTAGCATCGTCGACAGCAGTGTTCCACGATGATTGGTTATCAACGTGGCTGAAACTTCGCAGGCAAGCTGGATTGAGGGTTGCTGGAGTTTTTGACTGTGCAATTCAACCAGCCCCAGACCTTAGCCGGGAGGGGGCCTGGTTGCGCCGGCCTCTTACATGCTCAGAGACGACATCGGTTATCCGGTGTCTTTTGCAGATTGAGGACCGAGACGTCACGTCTCACTCGCTCAAGACGACATGTTTGTCTTGGGCAGCAAAAGCTGAACTACCCCGAGATCAACGCAGATTACTTGGCAGGCACTCATCAAGTTTGCAGGACTCAGACTCCATCTATGCTCGGGACCTTGCTGTGGCCCCGGTGAAGGCCCTGCAGCGGGTCCTCACTCTTATTAGAGAGGGTGAATTCGAACCGGATCAACCTCGAGCCGATTTCTTCAAAGGGGCCAATCCATTGGCGCCGGGCACGCCAGCACCAGTCTTTCAGCCTGGAACGCCGGCTTTTCTGACGAAAGAGACAAGAACTGAGCCTTGCGTTGCTGCGGTTCCAGATGATGAGTGGGAGCACATCACACCAAAGAAGGAGGTTGAGTGCATTGAGGTTGACGGTGTTCTGCAGGCGTTTGAGATTGAGGTCCTGTCGTCATCGGATTCATCGTCGTCGACATCAGGTTGCGATGACGTTGACTCGGACGTGGAGAATGAGGTGGAAGTCAGTGATGACAGGCGTCCACCCCATGAAGACAGGTTTTCATTGGACGTCATGGTGAAGAATGGGAGGACGGGCATGATCCATAGTGTCCCAGACCTCGGCGCAGACATTTCTGGGTCAGTCTACGCAAATGGCGAGCTTCTTCAAAAGAAGACTACGAAGTGTGGACGGCTCACGTCAGCCGGTTTCATTGTGGTGCAGACAGTTCCAGATTGGACTGCCAAATGTCGGGTCTGTTTCAAAGGGTGCCGTGAGCCACCTAAACGTCGCTGAGCCGTGCTGGGAAAAAGTCCGTCATGTCATGTTGATTGCCAATGTGTGCATTGAATCTTTTGTCTTGACATTGCATTTGAACGATCCAATGTGGGCGTTGCCGTTGTTCTGCACGACTTGTTGTGCAAGGGTTACTGCCTGTTGTCCAGATGTACATGATCATGTTTGCGGTCCACTCATTTATCACAATGTGTGACAATCCACTTATACCCAATGTGGGTACGGCAATGTGCCGGGCAATGTGCCATTTAGTTTCTCAGTACCTCAATGTGAGGCAAAGTAACGACCACATGTGTGTCACGGCAATGTGCCGATTCAAGCCGTTACCAATGTGGCAATGGCGACCAATGTGGCATGAACCTACACTGTGTAGAAGCCACGTTGGCTCTAGTAACTGTCAATGGGGCAGACGGAGCGGGTCATTGGATCCAAATTCATTGTCAGGTCCATGTGTCTTCCATACGTTGTATGTTCGCGATGGGGAAACTTTTGAATACTATCTCCAGGTTTAATTTCATTTCGCTATTTTCCTACACTGCACGACCGTGTCACCTCGCATTCCTCTTTTTTGCAGCAATGACTTCCATTCTGGACAGCGAAGCCCATTTTCAGAAGAGATGTGATGAGGTGGGCCTCAGTGACCGTGGAAAGCAGGCCACTTTTGGTGCAGGGTACTCCACGCTTGGGCGGCTTGCATTTGGTGTTGGCCAGCCAGGGATGCCGGTGCCAGAATTGGAATTTACAAGGAACGTGTTGGGCGCGATGGCCACAATGCAAGACGTGAGCTCCCTCAGGCGTTTGCTGTTTGAGGCCCAAACGTTGGTCATGGCTCAGTTGCGCGAGCAGGTCTCGAACCCCGAGATGCAAATGACTCGAAAGATGCCGCCAGTGGAGAGGGAAGCAAAAATGAGACAACTGAGAGCCAGGCTGCCTGGCGTTTTGCTTGAGCATCAGCTGGAGCCTTCGCATGCCCTTTTGAACCTTGTGACCAAGCAATTGCAGTACATAGAGATTGCAAAACTTACCAGTCGTGAACATGAGGTATTATACTCCAAGTCATCGAAGCAGCTGCATGTTGACGCTGACAAGCTGCTGGTCAAGGAGGAGGCCAAGGTCCCTGACCAAGCTGCGAGCACAGAGCTCCAGGTGCTTGAAGCCCTGAAAAGACGTGGGGTAGCATTTGCATTTATCGATGCACTATCTTGGGATGTTCATGAGCGCTACCTCCAATCCCTCTTCAACCACCTGCGGACCGAGGCGCGCGATGGATATGTGAAGACGACACTGCAACAGCTTCTCCGGGCTGACCGACAGGTTTTTCTCACTTTGATCCGAAAGGATGTGGATGTTAGAAGGAAACCGGATGACACTCTTGAGATGGACACAGAGATCATGAACGCTTTACAATCCTACGAAGTGGGTTTTCACTTGATGCCACTGCCGAAGGCCAAAACGGCTGAAGCCAAACCCCAGCAGCCCTCTGCTTCTGGACAGCCAAGTCAGCCATCGAATTGGCAGTCACGTGCAGGTCAGCCTTATCACAAGGGCTCCAAAGGAAAAGGAAAAGGCAAAGGAAAAGGGGAAAAGGTGGCAAACATCTTGCCAGCCGAGTTGCAGAACAAGGGCTGCGTTGGAACGGATGATCACAATCGAAGGCTGTGTTTCAACTTTAACCTCAACAAGTGCCAGGACGCTGCACATGGAGCCGAATGTAATCGTGGATGGCACTTGTGTATGAAGAAGGGTTGCCATGCTCCTCACAGTTTCCTTGACCATGACAAGAACCAGAAGCCTTGACGGTTAGAACGCGTCTTTGACCTGGCAAGCAAAGGCGCTAGTTTGGAAGATTGCCTCATAGTGGAGATCTTTGCAGGTTCATCACGTGTCACGGCCTCGTTGAAACAGCTAGGCCTCAAAAGCAGCTTTGGCGTTGACAAAGTTCGTTCAAAGAACGCTATGTCTACAGTTATCATCGCTGATTTGACGACTCCCGAAGGGGAGGAACTTTTGATGAGCTGGCTAAGCATGCCTAACGTGGTCGGAATTTTTCTTGCTCCTCCTTGCGGATCTGCTTCAAGAGCACGTCAAATCCCGTTAAAAAGGAAGTTCGGCGGCAAGAGAAATGGACCACGACCATTACGTACAGATCAATTTCCAAACGGAATTCCAAATCTGAACCCTTCGGAACTGAGCCGAGTATCTCTGGCCAATCAGCTGTATCATTTAACTGCGAAGCTTGTCAAATGGGCTGTTGAGTTTGGTGTGATTTTTGTTGTTGAGAACCCTCAGTTCAGTCTATTTTGGGCTACAACTTTTTGGACGGAAGTTGCGCATCTGGCCATGTATTCAGTTTTTCATTCATGTCAATACGGTGGTTTGCGGAAAAAGAAAAACAATGTTGGCTTTCAATGCCGATGAATTTTTGGCTGTGTCGGCAATGTGCCCAGGACAAAGTAGCCGGCATAAGCACGCCCAATGGGGACTGAATGCAACCAATGGGTTTTCAACGGCTGATGAGACAGCCTATCCAATGGGACTGGCACGCTTGATTGCCGTTGTTTTCACACGTGTGCTGCTCCGATGTGGTATCCATCCCTTGCCGGACACACTGGAACAGGTGCAGCCATGCTCTTTGCAGGCATTGCAGAAGATGAGAGCTTCCGTTGGATATCAGGCGAGGTCATCGAGAATGCCACCATTGGTACGTACATACAAGGGACCCAAGTCCATTTTGCCGAAGTTTTCTGTTTTACAACGAACTAAAACTGATGTTTTGCTTGTACAACAGCCCAAGCAATGGCTGCCCAAAGGGTCTCGACTTCTTGCGGTTGAACACGTTCCCTCTCACAGCAAGGGGGGACTGAGCATCGAGGAAACTGGTGGACCAGGGCGAGTTCATGGATGCAATGCTGAATGTTCTGACGGCCAATTTTCCGACGGCCAATTTTCAATCAGTTGTGAAAAATTGACAAACAATATTACAAATGCAGAGAATTCTTCATTTGAAAATAATGCTGGACATGTTGAACAAGATGCAGGGAAATCTGAATGCAATGCCGCTTTTTCTGACAATAATTTTTCGACGGGTTTTGACAATTTTGGCAACAATGTTGCAGCCGCTTTCACAGGCGAATTTCTGCAGACCCTGACCTTGAATGAGGGAGACTCGGGTGCCACTGAGGATTGGCAGCTTCAGGTTTGGGGGACTCCTTGGACACCGGAGGAGTTTGTTGACAGGGCAGTTGTTGCCGGTCACCCAGCGAAGCTGCACTCTTTTCTGCCACTGTTGTTGCGGGACTGCATTGAGAAGTCTCTGACGAAGTCATGCTCACAGCGCATGGCTCACAGGGCCCAAGCTCTGAAGCACTGGCTGCGAAGGTCGATTCAGCTCAAACATCAAGAGGAAGAGCTAGTGCGGACCTTGGAACCTGGAGTTGCTGAAGTCCTGCAAGGCAAGAGGATCCTTGTCTGGAAAGAAATGCTACAGTCCATCAACTACAGCGATATGGGTGTTGTCGATGAGTTCTGCGCTGGCTCCAGGTTGACAGGGCAGACAGACCTAACAAACCTGTGGCAATCAAAGGTCACCCCTGCCACCATGACGGAGGGCGAGTTGCATGCCCAAGCAAGGTTGCAGCGGGACGGTATCTGTGAAAGAAAACGGCAGGTTTTCTGTGGGACAGAAGCAGGTGGCTGGTCTGCCATTTTGGCTCAAGCTGACCAGCCACCCTGCCATCATGTGGTCTTTTGTGACACTTTTCTTTGGGTGCGCGGTCAGCTGCAATGTATCCCGTCCAGTCCGATGCCATGAGGATGCAATCGATTGGGGCCCTTCGCCAGCACTACAATTTGCCGGACAACGTGTGGAACGCGTTCGTGCAGATTGCGGGGGACCCGATGGACGATATGCGACTTTTGGCTGTCCTACCTCCAAGCATTGTTTCGGCAGCACTGGAGCGCAGTCAGTTGCCGGACGGGAGCTATTTGAGCGCAGTGCAGGCCTCCCATGTGGGATTAGTCTACAATTTATCCAGGCGCATACAACACACCCGAAGCGGTGGGGATTGGGATGCTTGGGTAGAATCATCCCCATTTGGAGATCAACGCATCACGGTGGAGCCTGCGGTGACGAAGGACGCGTCAGACAGCAACGAAAGGAAAATGAAAATGACACAGATCTTGGACCAGATGGACGATGGGGACTTTACGGTGCAGACGGAGGAGATGAGAGCCAAGTGGTACCAAAGGTACGGGGCTATCCGCCGGAAGAGGAGGACCCGACGTTGGAACAATTGTCGGCGTTGCAGAAACGCATCGAGAAGCAGGACACAGCCCCATTCGTGGACTTCGCGATCTATGTCCCATTTGGTCAAAGGGCATTAAAAGCATCGAAGTTCCGCACATTCGTCCTTACATCCAGCGGGTACGTGACGAAGGAACTACCAGGTCCAGCAAACTTCAACCAGTGGCGAACGTGCTACAGACTTTTGAAAACGTCTCTGTTGATGCTGGACGCAGTGGGCTTAGCAGCACTACAAGCCTACGAAGCCACAATCGAAAGATTGGCAAGAAACTATCCCACGTGCTGGCATTTGATATACAGCGCGGACGAAGTTGCAAGGTCGGCTCAGGCGAACAGACTGAGGTCGAAGCTGGTCATGGAAATCAAGGCAGGGCAACAACAACCCGATGGATTTGCCCTCAATCGCCCATGGGATTACATATATGGAGCTCTAGCACGGGACGAAGGATTCTGGCAGACACAGGTGGTATCTCCAGCCCTAACATGGATTGCGGCAGGATCACATGGCATGCCCCGCACTCCAGCGGAACAACTCGCCTCAGGGCACATGCAGGGAGGTCTCAGCGCCATCACACCTGTCGTGGAGTCCTACAACAACAACACGAAGGCACAGGGCTCAACAGAGCCATCAAGGAGGAGAAAACGCAAGTGGAGGAACGATCAAGGCGCTGGAGAAGATTCAAGGCCTTCAAAAGGAGCAAATCCAGAAAAAGGAAAGGGAAAAGGAAGCAAAGGCAGCAGCGGCCAGAAATGCTATTCTTGGAACAATGGCAATGGAGTCTGTGGTGCACTCGCCCCTGGACAGAAGTGTCAAGCTCGGATTCAACGTCTACACAAATGCACCATATGCGATTCACCGGGCCATCCAAGCAGGGAGTGCCCGAAGAACAAGGATCAGTGAAAGTTTGTGGAGAAGGTCAACAACACGAAGGCACAGGTGCAAAATCTGAGAAGCCCGAGCCCAAGCCAGAAGCGGAGTCCTCAGCAGAGTACACCTACACCTACGAGACAGACGAAGGTGAAGCTGAAGACGGTGACGAAGGCCAGGAGGATCCTGATGAAAAGGACCCATTGATGTCACAGACATTGGAAGAATATTATCAGAAGAGGGTCTTCATCTTCATCCATCACTTCGCGGGCCCTGCAGACCCACTCACAACAGCCATGAGGAACGAATCCCTCAAGCAGGGCATCAGGCTCAAAGCCTACAGCGTAGAGAAGGAAAGCGGCACTGGAGATCTCCTAGCCGATGAACCGTACAATACCCACTTGAGGTGGGCGAAGCGGGGCTATGTCGATGCATTTCATGCAGGATTTCCATGTTCTACATTTTCCCGTTTGAGGTTCCGGCGAAGGGAAGGTTTACCGGGGCCAGTTCGGACGAAGTTCGAGCCTTATGGACGGCTCACCAACAATCCTGCTGCCCAAGCTGAGTGCGACCGGGGCACCGTCATGGCATGCAGAGCCATAGACATGGCCACAGCAGTGGGGGAATCAAAACGAGTGTCAAGCGTGGGTGCAATAGCAACTCTTGAAAATCCCCCGCCATCAAATGAGCCTGAACACCTGTCAGCTTGGGAGTTGCCGGAGATGGAGAAGTTCAGAAGAGTCAGACCGAGCCAGGGAGTGATCTTCAACACCTGCCGGTATGAAGAAGATCTTGAACTTGGAAAACGCCACTTCAAGCCTCAGCAGTTCGAAGGCACGTTGAGGGGCATGCAATGCCTGTCACTCGAATGCACTTGCGGGGAACCGGGCAACCATGATTCGATCACGGGCCCTGCAAAATCCAAAGCCTCGGCAACATACCCCAAGGCCTTGTGTGAAGCTTACGCAAGACTTGCTGTGGAACATTTGAAATTGATGGGCAAGGAGGAGTTCTTAAGATCCCGTATGGCATCGCTGCAGAACACCATCGACGTGGCGAAGGCTCGGATTGTGAAAAGGGATGAACCATTTGGCCCCGACGCGCACGTCCAAGACGAGAAGAAGACGAAGGCGAAAGAAGCCAGATCGAGGTCTAGGAGAAGAGTCCATTATCCTTCCCTTAGCCCTCCTACAAGACGTGAATACAAAGCAGCAACGATGCATGAGAGGCCCAAAAGCCAAGCAAGGCCACCTCTCAAAAGAAGGAAAAGGAACATGACTCCTCCCGAGGTCAAACTCAAGCCAGCCAAGGACGCGCTGAACACCCCCGAAGCGTATTGGCAAGGTGGAGAAGGAAAACACGAAGCGCTCAGGCCAAGCACCTCGAAAGAAGCGGATCCTTCTCTGCTGGAATTCGTGGGAGGCATGAAGGACCCATACAAGGTAGTCTTGCCCAGGGCCACGCTACTGTCTCTGGGGCTGCGAATCAGGGCGGCATGGGAAACGCTGGAGAGGAGGCACAAAGATGCACATGAAGTTTCAGAGAAATACGGAACGCCTGACTGCGAGATGAAACACCACCTTGTGAGGGAGTGGAAAGCAGCTCTACGCAAAGTGCTAGGAGCTCAAGCGCCGCCTGCAGTCAAGATCAAACCAAGGTGGAAGTATGTGTCGCCCCTGGACCCGGAACTGCTGGAAGCCTGGGTCTCGAAAGGAGCTGACCCAGACGATGCTGTGCCGAATTGGGTGAGAAACGGGCCCCTCTGGGCATAGAAATGCCCATACCGGTCAAGGGCATATTCCCGAAGAATGTTGAAGGCTCGAACTTGGACTACCACGGCAACCATGAGTTGGAGGACGCCGAAGCCCAGATGAGCCACGGAGAAATACTCAATTACACCTCCGTCCTGGAAAACTTGGAAGACGCCCGCATCGAGCTGAACCGGTACAAAGCGGAAGGCTTCATGGTTGACGTCGACAAGGAGACGGTGCAGAAGGAAATGTCTCACGGGACCATCAGCCGTTTGGGCCTTATTGTGAAGCAGAAGCCCGAGGGAGTCAAAAGGCGCATCATTTTGGATTTGCGCCGGTCTGGGGGCAATCGCAAAGCAGTGCTGCCAGAGAAGTTGGTGTTACCGAGACCACGAGATGCAGTTGCCATGATGAGGGATGTGTACAACCAACGCAGAGGATGCGGAAGCGATGAAGGCTACACACGTGAGCTGGTAGTGGTGGACATCTCGGACGCCTTCATGTCCTTGGCAGTTCACGAAGCTGAACTGCCACACACCCTTGCACCTCACGTAGATGGCGAAGGTTTCCATCTATTTGTCGCCCTCCTCTTCGGCTTCAAAACTGCACCATTGTTGTGGTCTCGAGTGGCAGCACTCGTCTCAAGACTCCTTCAGTCGCTGGTCCAAGGCAACGAAGCCCAGCACCAGACATATTTGGACGACGGTTTGTGGATCCTTCAAGGGACGCTGAAGGAGAGAAACAGCATACTGGCAATGGTCATCACGACACTCTTCGCCTTGGGCCTGAAGGTTTCCCTGAAGAAAGGCCTGAGATCATCTCAAGTGCAATGGGTGGGCGTCAGATTCACACTCAACGAGGACGCCATCATCTTGGGCCTGCCTGACAAACTCATGTCGGACCTGCTGCAAGTCCTCAAATCTTGGGCAAATGCTGGCATGGCGCCGATAAAGGAGTTGAGACAGGTCGCAGGCCGCACCTCCTGGGTTTCAGGGATTTTGCCACGTACGCGATGGGTGGTCGCCGTATTTTACAGAGTGTTGCACGAGAGGCTGAACGACATAGCATCAGGCAAAGAAGAAGAACGTCGCCAGCATCGCAGGGATGACAGAGCCAAAGGAGGCCTCTTCGTGGTCAAGCAATTGGAACAACCGCGAGTGTGGCTGATCAAATACTTGGAGGTGGCGATGACAAAACCCACGAGGCGCCTCAAGCTTGACACCATGAAGTACCCGAAGGCCACAATCGTCACAGACGCGTCGCCTTTGGGTGCGGGCGCAATTTTGCTTATCAACAACCGCATCACGAAGGCATACACCACCAAAGTGACGCACAGAGATGCCAGGCTCCTAGGATTCGAAGACAGCTGGGAACAGGCAGCCTCTCAAGGGATTGCAGAGACGTTATCGGTGTTGCTGGCCCTCAAACATTGGGCGAAAGAACTGCAGTCCTGCCACGTGGAGCTTCAAGTGCAAAGCGACAGCTTGGTGGCCTTGGCTACAGCGAAGCGTCTGTCGAGCTCTACATCGACGCTGAACTTTCTTGGCGCCGAGATAGCCCTGGTATGCGAAGAGATCGGCATTGAAGGTCTCAGGACGTCCCACATTCCAGGGTCGGCCAATACGTCGGCGGACTGGCTCAGCAGGCCAGACAAGATTGCGAAGGATGAAATGCCAGTGGAACTCAAGGGAATCCCCATACACAATGAGTTGCAAGTTCGGGGACCTGAGTTTTACCACTTGGCACCGCCGCAGTTGGCCCCGGATTTGTGGCGTCCAAGTACAGCGGCCAACAACGCTTGGGCCTCGCTGCACTGACACATCCGAAGGACAGGAAAAGGCTGCAGTGAGGTCACGTCATGCAAGGTAAGGTCACTTCATGCAGTTTGGATCATCTGGAAATTGAGTTCAATTCACCCGTAGCCATTTTGCAGAATGACAGATTCAGGCATTGTCCCTTACGTGCCTGCTGGGCCACCAGCACTCTCTGCTGTGCCATGGTATCCTTCGACATGGGGCTACGTGGCACTGCTCACCCTTCTGCTGGCGAGCTGGGGCATAGTAGCTTGGTGCCTCTGCTGTTCCGCAACCGAGAGAGCACCCAAACAGCAGCACCTCAAGCAGAAGGGTGCCTCTTCCGCTTACTCCGGGACCCTCCCAATGTCGCGGTACCCCAAGGAAGGCGTGTCTTTGGCGACGTTTATCACAAGGAGGGATCAAGTGTGGAGAGATCATCATCTGAGGGGAGGCGACTGCTGGCTAGTGCTGGATTAGCCGACAACACTTCAGTCGATGGACCCAATGACCCCTTTGACAAAGAGGAATCACTCACGTCAACAGAGCTCTATGGCACGAAGGATAGGTGGGACATCACCTCTCCCAAATCTCAGTCCGGGAAGAGTGAAGGTAGCCCCGAATCGATGAACAAGTTCCCGCCAGATCCTCCCTCGAGCGTTCCAGAAGGCGCACAACACAAAGGGCCTTGGTGGAGGGAATTGTTAGCTTCACCTGTGAAGAAACTACGCCTAGCCGAACTGGGGCGCAACTTCAGAGCACTAGCTATGCCCTCTTATGAACTGCCGCCTGTGGAAACGCCTACAACAGGCATTTTGCCTTTCGACATGCACACGAAGGTTACGGATCAGTCTCAGGGGTCTATCAAACCTAAGAGCACGTTGGCCAAAGTTAGGAAAGACCTTCCAAAGAGGTCATCTGGTGCGAAGCTACCCAAGCCCAACAGAAGGTCGGCGGTGAAGCTCGCAAAAGCGAAATGCGCCCTGGCTGGCATTGTAGCAAGGGTGGAGAAGGACTTTTGTGCAAACTCCTCAAGAGCAGCACGTGCGTCAAAGCGCAACACCATCAAACAAATACTTCGTGCAGGTAACGAGGGTCTCCCGTTGACACCATTTTCACTAAAACTGCTTGCTGGCACTCTACGCGAATCGGGCTACAAATCGGCGCACTCCTATCTCATCGAAGCCAAGCTCGAACATGTGGAGGCCGGACATCACTGGACGAGTCTGTTGGATCGTCATTTCAAGCTTTGCATGGCAGCCGCCAAACGAGGAACAGGACCTCGAAAGAAAGCAGCAGAAGTACCCGAAGGAACATGGACCGACCATTCGTTGCTGGAGGACCCTTCCGTGGCCGGCCTGAAGGTTCTGCATTCAGCATTGCTGTTCGCTTGCGGTGTTCATTGGATGATGCGGGAGATTGAACTCTCGAACTTGCGCACGGAGGACATCAGATTCGACTGTGCAAATCGAATGGTCACCATCCTTTGGAGAGAATCCAAGAAGGATACCGAAGGCATCGGCATCTCACGCACACTTCAGTGCTTGTGTGAGAATGGCTGCGACCTGAAGTGCCCCTACGCAGTGTTGGAGACATTAGTGAACCACGCGACGCTGAGGGGTACTCCGATGGGGGCCATCGCGATGGGCAAGAAGGGGCGCCTGGCCACCAAAGCCGACATCGTCCACGATTGGAGGAAGCTCTACGGCAAGGACGTCACAGGCCACTCAACTCGAAGAAGCGGTGCCTTGCAATACATCAGGAAAGGATGGGCGGTGTCACAAGTAGGATACCTGGGCCGTTGGAAGAGCAACATCATAATGGAGTACGCACAGGAAGCACTGGAATCCATGGCGGTGAACAACACACAATGTTTCGGTGTCAGCGGAGCCCAACTACAGATGGCCCAACAGCTGATCAAAGGAAACGCTCAGTGCAACGACAACCAACAGCTCTTGGTGACGAAGGCAGATGCCGTAGTAGTGCAGAAGCTGAAAGAGGAATTGGAAACATTCAAGGGACACACCTTGGGGTCACATGTAGCGTTGGAAAACGCAATCAAGGATGTCGAAGACCAAGTGACTCAGTCTTCGAAATATTTACCCAAGATGGTCAAGTCGGTGAGACAACAGGTGATACATGCGAATGTAGTCACGCTGGTGTACGCACCACCTATCACCTGGAGGACAAAGTGCGGTTGGTATTACCACGCTTCGAACTATGAGTTCACCGACGGAGATGTGTCGAAGGTTTCTTGCATTAAATGCAGACCGTCAGCGCCAGTGCAAGGAGGTGGAGAAAGCTGACGAAAATTCCAGCTGATTCATCATTGGAGCAGGGCTGGTGAGATTTGAAATTTGAAAATGAAATTTGATGCAAGGACTCGACATCCTTCCAACCACTTCGAAAAGGTACTTGCCGTGGGGTTGGGCTGGTGGCATTCCACCTTCCATGCCACATGTGATGTCGTGAAAGAAAACGGCAGGTTTTCTGTGGGACAGAAGCAGGTGGCTGGTCTGCCATTTTGGCTCAAGCTGACCAGCCACCCTGCCATCATGTGGTCTTTTGTCCACTCCCACCCGCCCAGTGGTGGAGAAAGCTGACGAAAATTCCAGCTGATTCATCATTGGAGCAGGGCTGGTGAGATTTGAAATTTGAAAATGAAATTTGATGCAAGGACTCGACATCCTTCCAACCACTTCGAAAAGGTACTTGCCGTGGGGTTGGGCTGGTGGCATTCCACCTTCCATGCCACATGTGATGTCCATTTGGTCAGGTAGTTTTCTTTGACTCCGAGATCGCGCATTCAGTTTGGGATCAGACATTGCAGGAAGTCATACGTGGTGAAGCCGAAGGGCCCTTCGATCTGAGTGAGGTGCCTTCGGACTTTCCACTCAGCAGGCGCTTTGGGGTCAAGCAGAATGGAAAGATAAGGTGTGTGGATGATTTTTCCTGGTCTGGGATAAACGCTGCATCTCAACCGAGGGAATCCCCAAAACCTCACACGCTTGACGTGGTGGCAGCGATGATCAGCACAGTGATGGGCTACGCCGAAGGCGATCACGCCTGGGTGTCGCGGAGTTTTGACCTGAGGAGCGCATACAGGCAGTGTGCAGTCCATCCTGACTCCAGGCAGTTTTCGTACATTGTTGTTGGAGATCCCCACACATCTTCATTGAAGGCCTTTCGCCTCAAGGCACTCCCGTTTGGAAGCGTCAAATCTGTCCACAGCTTCCTTCGAATAGCGCACAGCTTGTTTCACTAGGCGCTAGCCTTGTTACCTTATCAACTCGCAGGTGTGGCGTGTGCCACCTCAACCAAAAAAAAAACCTGAACCAAAAAAAAAAGTAGGAGGGGGTTGGTGGCCTGAAGAAACACTCTGTGTTTGCGAGAGACTTTTGTGCTTGTGTTTCTTTTAACCGCTGTTTTGTTTAAACACCAACTGTTTGAAACATTCAACCTGGTTTGTGGAATGTTTGTTTTCTGGGGTCACTGCGTACTGTGTGAATGATGCAGTTTCCCCTCAAGTGAGCTTGTTGGCATTTGGCCAACTGTTTTTGTCCGACTTGCGTCGTTCCATGCCCGCACCCTTTCGCACTGCTTCAGCCATCCAGAAAGGCCGTGTCGCAGTTCAGACTTCATCAGTGCATGTGTCTATTTCTTGCTTTTCACGTTTGTGCTGCTGTGGCCTTTTGGCATTCATTTGGGGATTCTTCACTGCCATTGCCTATTTACTTCGATTTGAAAGTGGGGATGAGCTGTAATAACATGGATGCCTTCGAGTCACATTTAGCTTTCTCGAGACGTGCAGTGTGGGGGTCAATTTTCAATCCAATTTACGTTGTGCGCCCTCCAATTTCAATTCCTGGCAGCAGCTTACCCTTGGTCCCAAGACCGTGTGGGGTCATCGCAGTGGCCTCTCCTGAGCATGAGGCGGAAGAAGACAGCCCTGACAAACATGAGGCTCTGAGAGTTTTCAGGGCCAAAAGGACTGTGACAGGACGATCTTGGGAGGCCCTGTTGAATTCACAGAGAGTTGCTGCAATTCGGAAGTGGGCTGGAATTATTATGATGTATTTGAACTCATTTGAGATTGGCAGACAATGGGACCGCTTGTCACCTATGGGGCAGGCATTGGGCGATGGTTTGAGGCACATTTTCGCGGGGAAGGCTACTGGCACTTTACATGCACGTGCCAGCCCAATTCTGCGATACGTCATGTGGTGTGACAAGAAGGGCAATCCTGCCTTCCCGTTGGTTGAGGCTACGATTTATCAATTCATGTGTGAACATGCTGACACTGCTGCTCCGACATTTTTGCGGTCTTTCCTGGTGGCAATTAGATTTTCTTTTCATGTCCTTGGGGTTACAGGTGGAGACTTGGTACTTGCAAGTAAAAGGATTGAAGGGTGTGCGCGTGAGGCGTACCTGAGGAAAAGGCGTACCCTGCAGAAAGATCCTCTCAGTGTGGCCATGGTTGAGCACTTGGAGAAAGTCGTCATGGCAGACAGGTATCCAGATCGAGACAGGGTGGCTGCGGGGTGCTTTTTGCTGTGCGTATTTTTCAGGGCCCGTTTTTCAGATATGATGAACTTGCAGGACCTCATTTTGGATGAACTGATAGTGGACGGCACTGCCCAGGGTTACATCGAAGGGAAGGTTGGTCGAACAAAATCAGCCTACACCACTGAAATGAAAACGATGTATCTTCCTATGGTTGCACCGCGTTATGGTGTTACTGGGCAAGACTGGTTCAGTGCATGGCAAGAAGCTTGTATCAGATGTGTCAAACCCAAGGGTGAGTCAATGCCAATGCTCCCATACCCTTCTAAGAGCGGTTGGACGAGGACGCCATTGGGTGCTGGAGAAGGTGCTGACTGGCTGCGACAGTTATTGCAGGTTTCTGGCATTCCAAGTGGATCCATGGGAAACATTGGAACTCATTCCCTCAAGGCCACGACACTCAGTTGGATGGCTAAGTTTGGGGCGCCCATCAGTATCAGGCAGCACTTGGGTTACCACATGCCGAGTGCTGACAAGATGGCACTTCTGTATTCTCGTGATGCATCAGCTGGACCCATCCGTAAGCTGGAAGAATGCCTTGCTGAGATCAGGGCAAAGTCTTTTGTCCCAGATGCCACACGATCTGGTTATTTTCCGATGCAGGCACAACGACCTGATCCTGATGTTGAGCAGGGCCTTTCTGGACGTGGTTCAAATGGGCATGACTGGGCAACTGATTTCAGCGATTCAGATTCGGAGGACCCGAGAGATGATGAGCATGCCTTCGAAGAGCAGCAGTTGAATGAGGAGGCCATGGACCACGTCGTAGGCCCTTGGGATGAGCATGCAACACTGGAATCCTTGGGCCTTCATGAAGATGCCCCGCTCTTCAGGAATCGTTTTACCAGATACATTCATTTGCTTGCAGAGGAAGGGGGTAACAAGTTTCGATGTGGCAGAGAGGTGAATTGTAAATATGAGGAACTTGAACGAAGGCCCAAATTCATGTCGCCACAGTGCAGCCAATGCTTCAGAGATGTTGTCAGCTGAGGTTTGAAAAAAAAATACGTTTCAGTTGGAACCATGTAAAAAAAAATGTGGATCGCCTTGCTTGATTCAAATTTGTAGAATCAAAGATTTGACTGCATGAGCAGACTTGGCATGTGCACATGATTTGAACCGAAGATGCCACTTGGGCATAGACCACTTGGGTCATTCAACATTTGGTTGGTGTGCGTGGTTCAAGCGGCGTAATTGACGCCATGTTGGGTATCCACTTGGGATCCCGTGCGAGTATGTGTGCAAGATACTTTACAGTTGCCCCTTTTTGAACCCATACCCATAGTCCACCTTTCCCATCACCAGGTTTGACTTCATACCCATAGTCCTCCCAGTGTATAGTGGATGAAACAAAACTCATGAAATGAAAAATTTCTTTTTGCTGCCTGGATTTCATTTTGCAATGTCACTCACCGACAGCGAGCCAAACTTCAGGGCCCGTGCGGCTGCGCTTGGGTTGACAGATGACGTCGTTGAAGCCTTGTGCACCAATGGTGTGAACACACTTGCAAAGTACGCCTTCAGTTCTGCATATGTCCCAGGAAATTCAGATGAGGCCCCATTTGTGACAGCCATGACAACCGCTTTAGGTGCAGATCCAACCCTTGGACAACTTGCATCACTAAGGAGGCTTTTCCATGAGGCCTACAGCCTTACAGCAGCGGAGCTCAAGCACTCAGTTGAACGGGTCGAAGACATGCCAGTAAAGAAACTAGCCCAGCCTGAACGTGCAGACAGATTGAAACGTCAGCAGTCCAAACTGAAGGGTATCCGTATTGAAGGAAAACTTGAACCAAGCGACAGGCTGGTAGACCTTGCAGTGTCCTTGTACGAGGAGAACAGACTGCAGCATGTTGAACTTAGCAGGTGCACTTCGAAAGAACAGGAGGTCTTGAACTCATCCCAGCGTGAAGACAAACATGTTGCAATTGATGCAAGTGGAGCTGTCCGCATTCGCGACAAGGAACACAAAATGGAAGCAGATTTATCATCAGACATGTTTGTCAGGTTGGCTTTGATGAGACGAGGCCTCGCCTTTGACCAGGCGAACTTGCTGGACTACCTGGAGCATGACAGGTGGGTTGAAAAGATTTTTGACTGTAGGGTTGCGAGTCAGCCGGACGGATATTCCAAAATCAGCATGCAGCAGATTGTCAATGCAGACCGAAAGCTGTTTGTCAAACTTGCAGAAGGGAGCAGATCTGGCGTCCAGACCACAGCCACAGGCCGACCACTGGATGCAATTTTTAGGACCACCATGGAGCACCCTGATGTTTTGCACTTGTTGCAGCCGCTGCCAAATAGCATTAGCACGTCAGTCAAGAGGACTAGTGATGCCAGTCACGACAGGCCTGAGGCTAAGGTCCCTAGACCCAAGAATAAGGGCAAAGGAAAGTCAAAGGGTCAGGGCGGTGGATCACTTACCATCAAAATGCCGGCTGGACTTGAAGGCGGGGCACCTGGAAACCGCAACAACCAGCCCATATGTTTCGACCATAACCTTCCTCATGGCTGCAAATTGCCCGTGACCAAAGGCCGCTGCCGGAAAGGTATGCACATTTGCTGCATGAAAAATTGCTTCCAGTCGAACCATACCTTCCAGACGTGCCCAAACAAACGCAGCAGCTGACTCGGGGAGTGCAATGTTTCACCCAACAACACTTGCGCTGGTGACTCTATAAGAGATGCAGCTGGTGCAGCAACAGTGGAAGATCCTGGCTTACCCGCCATTGAAGGCGTTGAAGCGGGGACAACAAAACGAGGCGCTCCCTTGATCATGGAAATATGTGCAGGGACTGCCATTTTGAGTAAATGTTTCAAAGATTGTGGTTTTGAGCATTTGGCCATAGACCATAAATCCAACCGTTTTCACTCGTATGTCACTGTTTGCAATGTGGAGCTGTCGACAGAGCATGGATGGGCTTTCCTTTACCATATCATCGAGCATTACAATGTTGTTTTTGTACATGCAGCACCGCCGTGCGGGACATGCAGCCGTGCCAGAGAAATCCCGCTTGGTCCTGGTGGGGGACCAAAGCAGTTGCGTAGTGAAGATTACCCATCGGGACTGCCACATTTGGAAGGCAGAGATCTTGAGCGAGTTCAACTGGCAAATTCATTGTATAGTGGGCTGACAAAGTTTTTGACCAAATGCACCTTGCAAGACATTCCTTGGAGCGTTGAAAACCCAACTTCGAGCTATTTGTGGCTTATTCCATGCTTTGCTAATTTGATTGCTGAAACGCCATGCAGGTTTTACAATTATGACACATGCGCATGGGGGTCAACTCGGAAGTTGCAACGGTCCTTCCTTTCTACTTTGCCTGCAATGTGCGGCATCCAAGCCCGCTGCCCTGGTGACCACGAACATGCCCCGTTTGGGCGCACACGGCAGAGTGACGGAACCTTCAAATATGCCACTAGTGATGAAGCAGCATACACCAAACAGTTGTGTGTTCAGGTCGTTTCCATTGTGCAGAATGCTTTGCAACTTTTTCCACAGAAGTTTGAGGCCGACCCCAGCAATGTTGCAGTCAACCATAAAGGAATGATTGCCATGCAGAAACAACCGGCAGGACGACGTATGCCTCCCTTGATTTCCGAATTTGAGCGATTTGAAACAATTATAGCTGCATCGATGCCCACAACCGATGCCAAAGGTTGCTTGACGGCCTGCCTCCAACATGTTCCTAGTGGTTCAAAGCTGCTCAGTTTTTCGAAAAAGGGGGATGGCGAGAGCAGCTTGGTTTTGAAGTTTGGCATTTACAGAACTCCCATGACTTGGATTGACAGGTCATTGACGTTGCACCACCCTTTTGACAATTTTCATGCCGTTCCTGATCAAATGCTTGATGTTTTATTTTTCATATTGACCACGTCCCCTGCAGACGTTTGCAATTTTAGGATTTCCAAAATGAAACTCTGGATGAGCTGGGCTGAAGAGCTTGAAGCACAAGAGAGGGAACACAAGCTGAGCCTTGACCTGGAAGTCAGGCAAATCCTTGCGCCCAAAAGGCTCCTCTTGCTCAGGAAGATAGCTCGCAGCTTGGATTGGCCTGATACCAATCTTTTTGACGAAATCGATGCAGGGTTCAAACTCACCGGAATCCAGAGCCCTTCAAATGTTTTTGGACTTGAACCCAGGCCACCGCAAGCCTCTGAAGGGGAGCTCTGGGCCAGTGCAAAATTCATCAGACCTGCGTTGATCGGCAAGGTCAAAAGTGCAGCTCTTGATACTGAGAGTCAACCATTGTGGGATGCTACAATGGAGGAAGCGAGCAACCACCACTGGATGACTGGCCCACATACAGTCGAACAAGTTCATGATATTTTCAATGGACAGCCATGGATACCTGTGAGACGCTTCTCAGTTCTTCAGTCCTCGGGTGATAGAATGAAACTCCGGCCTATTGACGATTTCGCTGAAAACCGCGTGAACACGGCCTATGGCTACTCAGATAAGCTGGATTTGCGTACCTTAGACCAGGTCGTGTGGATGACAGCTGCCATCACCCGTGCGTTAGCCTTGGGATATATCTCATTTCGAAGGAGTGATGGGACCCTGCTGGAGGGGAAGGTCCACTCCGCTTATTTGGAAGAGGGTGGTGGCCGACCTCTCCTTTCTGTTTTGGATTTGTCATCAGCGTACAAACAATTTGCGATTAGCAAAGACTGCAGGCGGCTCTCTGTTATCGCCCTTAAGGATCCTTCAGACAGTTCTTGCAAGTGTTTCATTGGCAATGTGCTGCCATTTGGGGCGACAGCCAGCGTGGTTCACTTTAACCGCGTGTCCCGGCTGATCCATTCCATTGGGCTCCATGCTGGACTACTCTGGGGAAATTATTTCGACGATTTTCCTATGGTAGCACCTTGCATTTTGAAGCAGTCCTCAATGAACATGGCCAAGCTCCTACTTGATTTGCTCGGGTTCGAGTTTGCTGACCATAAACTGAAGCCCTTTGACGCAAAGGCCACGGTTCTTGGGGTTGAGATTGACACCAGCAAAGCTATGGATGGTTTTGTCCTGGTGAGGAATAAGCCCGGCAGGGTAACAGATGTCACGGATACAGTCAATGGAATCCTGGCTCGTGGCACACTGACGTCAAAGGAAGCTAGCCGGATCCTGGGCCGTATACAATTTGCAGATGCTCAGATCATGGGTAGAGTCGGAAGGATCGCCATGCACGAGTTCAGGCTTGCCATTAAAAGCCAAGAGAGCATCGCCCTGGATCGGTGTGCCATTGAATCACTGCATGTCCTAATGGACAGACTTTCTTCTGGAGAACCTCGAATGATCCCGTGCTGCGACCAGAGGCGGCCCATTTTGGTTTTCACTGACGGAGCCAGCGAGGTTTCTGGCCACACTATTGGTGGAGTTATGTCCAATGACAACAAGTTTGAATATTTTTCATGTGCGGTGCCGGAGCGCCTGGTTGAGGAATGGGGATCCATGTTTTCCCACTTCATAGGACTCGTGGAGATGTATGCCATATTGGTGAGCCGGCTTCTCTGGGATGATCACCTTATTGGGTCACGCACCATTTATTTTATTGATAACAACAGCTCGATGGATGCATGCATCAAGGGGACCTCCGGATCTAAACCTGTCCGAGAGCTGTTGCTGTGCTGGGAGAAAATGGAAGAGAAAGCCCGGACTTGGACCTGGTTCACAAGGGTCCCGAGTCAGAGCAACCCGGCTGATGAGCCATCTAGAGCATGCCATGACCTGATGGTGAAGCTTGGGGCCGTGAGGCGTCAGGCAACTTGTCCTCTGACCGGAGTCCCTCTTGTAGACTTGTAAAAATAATAAATCTTTGGTTGAAAGAAAGTGGGGAATGACTGAGATGTGTGACAATGTTAAATTCTCTGTGTGCCCGTTTCCATTTGGGAACGATGTCTTGCTTTGGTATGTGAGTAAATGATGGAACTGGTGATTGGCGTTTCATGTGGAAACGATGCAGACCGTACCAATGCAAATGAAACCATAGATGCAGTGACATCGAGACTTGCCCACGTGAAAAAAGGACAGCATGCGTGACCGAGTGAAACTCCATTGTCCAAACGAAACAAACTGATTTCCAGCCGTTCTTTTCCAGTGTGTGTTTTGTGAATTTCGGTGATCTCATTTGCGGAACTTTGGCGTATTCGTGCGTACTCCTTTGGATATATATATGTATTTATTCGTACGTATGTATTTGTGTGGTTTTGGTTTGGTTGTATGTTTGTATGACTGGTACGCCTATGAGTATGTTGGGTCCCCCTCCTTGTTTGTTGAACCCCTGGGTTCTTTTGTTGGGGGGCCCCCCTTTGTTATATTTGGTTGAGCAAGAGTTTATAAGTTTCACTAGGCGCTAGCCTTGTTACCTTATCAACTCGCAGGTGTGGCGTGTGCCACCTCAACCAAAAAAAAAAACCCTGAACCCCCCCCAAAAAAAAAGTAGGAGGGGGTTGGTGGCCTGAAGAAACACTCTGTGTTTGCGAGAGACTTTTGTGCTTGTGTTTCTTTTAACCGCTGTTTTGTTTAAACACCAACTGTTTGAAACATTCAACCTGGTTTGTGGAATGTTTGTTTTCTGGGGTCACTGCGTAATGTGTGAATGATGCAGTTTCCCCTCAAGTGAGCTTGTTGGCATTTGGCCAACTGTTTTTGTCCCCCCCCTTGCTTTGCACTCCCTCCCTGTCTCTCTCTGTTTCTTGTCTCTGTGGGACATGTTATATACATATCAAGTATGTTATCGTAATGTTGACAGTTGGTCAGCATTTGTTTTCCTCGTCATGTTTGACGAGGCGTCCACATGGGACATTGACATTTGGTCAATTCGAGCACTTGGCTCCAGCTTTTTCGTTTTTCCGAACTGTCCATACCAATTTTGCTATGTATTTTTCCAATGAGCTTTTCAGCCAAATCGTGGAACTGACCTTGCTGTATATGACTTTTCTCCATGACAATGAAAACCGATTAGACCTTGACAAATTCAGCCAGGTCGAATCACTTCAGGAGATTTTCTACACCATTTTATGCCAATGCGGCGATGCAATCTTCCTGCAATCCGCCAAGATGTACTGGAAGGCCACTACTTCAGCCCTTGCCATGATTGAGGGCCGACACTGCCCTAATATCGATACACCAACTCAGATCGACCGAAATGGACCTTTGCGCTGTTTGGCCACACTTTCAGCTCCGCAGTTCGCCCATTTGGCACAACACGTTGACGAGGCCAAACAAGGATTGCACGAGTTTTCTGCCTTCTTGCAGGCCTATGGACATCCGCAATCCTTCCATGATCATGCGCAAGACTGTTTACTAATTCTGGACGATCTGAGTCATGTTTTGGGCCTTCCCAGAACACTTCGCGATGCCAACCATCCTGGTTTTGCACGAGGGGAATGACTGAGATGTGTGACAATGTTAAATTCTCTGTGTGCCCGTTTCCATTTGGGAACGATGTCTTGCTTTGGTATGTGAGTAAATGATGGAACTGGTGATTGGCGTTTCATGTGGAAACGATGCAGACCGTACCAATGCAAATGAAACCATAGATGCAGTGACATCGAGACTTGCCCACGTGAAAAAAGGACAGCATGCGTGACCGAGTGAAACTCCATTGTCCAAACGAAACAAACTGATTTCCAGCCGTTCTTTTCAGTGTGTGTTTTGTGAATTTCGGTGATCTCATTTGCGGAACTTTGGCGTATTCGTGCGTACTCCTTTGGATATATATGTGTATATATTCGTACGTATGTATTTGTGTGGTTTTGGTTTGGTTGTATGTTTGTATGACTGGTACGCCTATGAGTATGTTGGGTCCCCCTCCTTGTTTGTTGAACCCCTGGGTTCTTTTGTTGGGGGGCCCCCCCTTTGTTATATTTGGTTGAGCAAGAGTTTATAAGTGGGCTATCTTGACATCAGTCTTCTGGGTGATAACCACCAATTATTTTGACGATTTTGTGTCCGTTGCTGATCTCCGTGAAGCCGAATCGGTCGACTTTACTGTGAAGGCCGTCTTCAGATTGTTGGGTTGGAGGTTTGCTGAGGATGGACCGAAGGCGCCACCTTTCAGCAGCAGTCTTGTGGCTCTTGGAGTGCAGTTCGATGTGTCGAAGTTGCATCAAGGATCGGTTAGCGTCTCCAACACCACGAACAGAAGAGATGAGCTGGCCCAGGCATTGGATCAGGCTGTGACGTCAAGATCCCTTGCAAAGCTTGAAGCCCTTAGATTGCGAGGACGGATGCAATTTGCCTCTGGTCAGTTTTATGGGCGGCTAGCCCGGCGGTGCCTTGCAGTGGTAACGCAGCATGCCTATGGCTCTGAGTCATCAACATTGGCTGAGGCTGCAATACATGCCCTGTCTCGCTTCAGAGACATGCTGGTCAATGGTGTGCCGAGGATGATTTCATCGAAGGCCACGACAACTTGGTTTATCTTCACCGACGCTTCACATGAACCACATGAGGCGGAACCTTTCTCTGGCGTTGGTGGGGTCTTAGTGGACCAGTTTGGTTGCAGGCGCCGCTTCTTTTCAGAACAGCTATCACCTGACCTCTTGCGTGAAATCAATGTGTCTCAAAGGAAGACAATAATCTACGAATGCGAATTTTTCTCTGTGCTTTGTGCCATGATTGTTTGGAAGGATTTCATTCATCAGTGCAACGTAGTGATCCATACTGACAATGATGCTGTCAGGGATGCATTCATCGCTTGCCACACTAGCAGCGCAAATTCTCTTCCAATACTTGATGCTATCCTCGAAGCTGAGAATGATGCCGAATGCAACTCCTGGATCACCCGTGTGCCAACAGAGTCCAACATTGCAGATGACCCCTCGCGTCTTCAAGTAGATCTTCTAATGAACTGTGGATGCTTGCGAGACCGTATTGGCTGTGCAGATATTTGGTCTAACATTGTATGCAAGCCTGGTAATGTTGCAAAAGGGGGAGGCGATGGACCAGCCTTGCACACCCCTTTGGAAAAAAGAAGGTCTCATTGCAAGCGAGGGTCGTCACAGCAGAATTTAAGTAAGCAAGACAACGGCAAGCGAACTAAATTCTGATGTGAGGTGATGAACTGCTGTGAATCAACCGAGCTCTGGCTTACAGGTTTGAATGTCAAACTTTTCAATGTGAAACAATGTCAATGACAATGGTCGCAACTTCAGCATGTTACATGTTTCTTTCTTTGTGGAAATTTTTCACGCCCACCCTCAGCCACCCTGATACCTTGTCAGGTGGTTGGGGGGTGTGCCAAGCCCAAAGCCTGGCGATGGACCAGCCTTGCACACCCCTTTGGAAAAAAGAAGGTCTCATTGCAAGCGAGGGTCGTCACAGCAGAATTTAATATATTTTGAACTTGGAAGTTGAAGCAATGGAAACCATACTTTTGAACATCTCATGTACTTGTACAAACTTGTTCACATATTGGACCCGGAAATTCATACTGGTCCGTGGCCGCATCGCTTCAAGCTTCCAGCTTCGTTTTCGTGTTCCCACCACTATCCCTTATGCTCCACCGTTCTGTGGTTCTGGAGGTGCTGTTGAACTCCCCACCTCTTCTTTTTATCAACTGCTTTGCAGCCCGCGGATTTTGGGATTGTATTTGACAATTGTTTGGGGGTACCATTTGATCCACACCGATTCTGTACATGATGGGCCCGCTGGTTCTATCCTTTCGACATTTACAGTGATGGATCAGATCAGATGCGCCACGTATAAAAGAGTGCTTTTGAATTGCGGCAACTATTTTGTGTTAGATGGTGATATGTTTATATATTTTTGAATTTGGAAGTTGAAGCAATGGAAACCATATTGTGAACGCTCGGGATTTTTGCGATGACCGAACTGTTGAATGCTGTCGAGCTTTGGCTTACTATTGACATGCAGCAATCACAGGAAAGTTGAAGCAAATTCAACTGTATATTGCTGGAAATCTGCAAGACTGATACATACCTTGCTAAATTTCACTGCAATATCACTTGAAATTTCCAACAAGAACTTGTCCACAAAGTTATTGAACGAGTTGCCTAATTTATGACCATCATTTGTATCAATTTGATAGGATAATAAGCAACATCATTAATATGTTTCAAATAACAATTTTAAAAATAATTCATAGAAACATCACTTATAACAGTAATTTATGATTTGTATTCACATAAATTTATATCATTTTATATCCAGTTTCTTGAACAAACTGTCGCAACAACGCCGCATGTTGCACTCGGGTGATGCTCCTCACCGAAAAAACCTCCTCGCAGCCTGCAATGACTTTGGTGCGCCAGATGTAGTTCCCTGATAGTCCAATGTTGTCGTTGAATGGGAGTATTCTTTTCAAGGAATGGTTGCTTAAATGATGTGTTCTTTCCAATTTTGTTGTTTCCATTTTTGTTTGTTTGATTTGGAAGGAACAAACATTTTCTTGATGAATGCTTAAACCGAAGAAAACTTGTAGCCAACCAGAAAAGGCATTGGTCACAGTGGTCACCTGAGTTTCCCTCGTTGCCGACGTCTCCAGATCGACTTCTGAAATCCTTCGTGGAGAGACCGCCTGGAAGCACAGGCGGGAATGGGTAAACCGATGGGAAGGGGTCAATGGGTCAATGTCAAAACCGCCATATTTTTATAGTCAATAAATCATCACAAATCAATCCCAACTATTTTGGGGTTCACCAGATGGAAATTCAAAATGATTAAACCATCTTGAAATCTGACCAGGCCTCCGGGCAGTTCAGCAGGCGCTGAAACTTCAAGAAGGCTTGGGGGTCTTTTGTTTTCGGCAAGTGGAACTACACAACTTGGTCACTGTGGTGATTTTCAGGTGTTGGTCTCTTCAAACTTCTTTTAGAGGCGCAACTCTTGCGATTTGTCTTGCATTTCAGACAGTTGCATAAAAGACCCACCAAGACTTGTTGGACTTTCAGACATCCAGTTCTTATGTTTCCGGGTAAATCATCACTTTCCCATCCTTTTACACTAACATGGCGATTTTCAGATGTCAGATGACGTCGAATTTTCTTAATTAGAGAGTGACTGCATTGCTGCAAGGCAAACAGCCTTTCATGCCAGGAAATGGAAATGGAAATGGAAATGGAAATGGAAAAAAATGACCATAATTGGTTGTAAATCCCCTGGTTGCGCCTGCAACTTGCCTTCTTCCGGAGGAAGAATCCAGGGGCGAGGCAGTGGTGCCAATACCCGCCGTTCCTGCGGAGAGGTGTGGTTGATCCTCGGAATGTTGCTGTGTTTGAAGAAAAACAATATGGAACAAACTATGAAGATTCAATCAAACGTATGGAAATATTTTTGAAAAAAAAATATGAACAACCATGGAAAACCAACAAGAATCAGTGGGAAACTCTTTTCCCTTGATGGCAAAAAATGGAGGACTTGTTTCTAGCCATTTTGGCACCTGGCAGGGATGGTCTGGTCCCCGGCATTTTCCCCAACACCCTGGAGGCCGCAACAAGGGGCACCATGGCGCACCATGGGGCACCATCAACCACCGCAGGTTCAGCAGCTCTTGCAGGAACTCGACACGGTGAATGGAACGATTCGGGCCCTGGACGAGGCCGCGGTGCAAAAGTGGAGAGATGAAATTCTGGATTTTAGAATATAGTAATCTATATAATAGGAGGAAGGGATTACTATAGATTTTAGAATATGTATCGATTTTTTAAACATAATCTATAGATATCTATAGTAATCCCTTCCTCCTATTACTAAACGTCCCCCAAATACTAAAAACTAGGGTCCATCTCTAATTTCGGAAAATTTCAGATTGGCCAATTGGACTTTTAATTGATCCCCTTTAGAAAACAATTAAAAAATCAAAGCTACCATTTGTGGGTTTTGCCCCCTAATTATAAAAACTAGTTCACCCCGGGGTGTTTATTATTAGGGTCCGTCCGATTTTTTATTGTTTTTTTTAATATTAGGGCTTTTAATTTCTTATTAGGGGAAAACCAATTTTTGGCAATATCTTAATTGCGTTATATAAGGAAATTTAATTGGTTTTGAAATCGGAAAAAATAGTTTTTATTATTAAGGGTTTAATTTTATTAATAGGGTCCGCTTCGAAATCCAATTTTTGGCAATATTGTAATTGCGTTATATAAGGAAATTTAATTGATTTTGAGATCGGAAAAAATCGTTTTTATTATTAAGGGTTTAATTTTATTAATAGGGTCCGCTTCGAAATCCAATTTTTGGCAATATTTTAATTGCGTTATAAAAGGAAATTTAATTGATTTTGAGATCGGAAAAAATCGTTTTTATTATTAAGGGTTTAATTTTATTAACAGGGTCCGCTTCGAAATCCAATTTTTGGCAATATTTTAATTGCGTTATAAAAGGAAATTTAATTGATTTTGAGATCCGAAAAAATCGTTTTTATTATTAAGGGTTTAATTTTATTAATAGGGTGCGCTTCGAAATCCATTTTTTGGCAATATTGTAATTGCGTTATATAAGGAAATTTAATTGATTTTGAGATCGGAAAAAATCGTTTTTATTATTAAGGGTTTAATTTTATTAATAGGGTTCCCTAATAATAAATACCCCCCTAATACTAAAGACTACCTGAGATGTTTATTATTTGGGGGAGGTTTAGTATTAGGAGGAAGGGATTATATAATTGCAACATGTATCCATTTTCCCGAATGCAGAGCAAGGGTTCGCATTTTCACTCTGGGGGTTTGGGGGTTGAGGGTGTGTTCGCTAGACGTTGCGCCGCCGTTCGCAACGGTTCGCAACCGTCCGCAACCCTTCGCAAACCGTGCCTGAGGGGAGTGCTACAAAAGTGTTCACTTTTGGAGGTTTGAAACGTTGTGCAACCTTGCTTCGTGTGGCAGGCATGGCACTTTGTGACATCGCAACATGTTTCATAACGTGTCAAAAGTCATCGCAACATGTTTCGTAATTTGTCAAAAGTCGTTCTGTGTGACAGGCGCAATACTTTTGCGAGGTTTTCAGAAGATGACTTGCATTTTTCGTAGCAGGGGCAGCACTTTGGAGACCTCCATCGTCATTTTGCGTGGCAGGCGCAGCACTTTAGACGTCTGGTGTTGCGTGTTCTTTGCGATTCGCATTGTCAGGGCTGCGTCAACTGGTGACAACGTGCAAATCGCGTGGCAGGCGTGGCATTTGGTGACATGTGATGAAAATTGATGGAGACCCGCGCGAAACATCGATTTTGAGATAGCCAATTTTGAGGTTATTAGGAAAACTCGTAGGAAAACGTCGATTTTGGAGTACCAAAGTTGAAATATATCGACCCCTGAGCCCCCACTACATGTAGCATAGCAGGTAGGTATAGCGTAGTGTAAATAGCGTAGCTATGAGTTCCAATTCAAACTCCAAATAGTTTTTCCTTAGCATGTCGCTCTTGCGCGACATACTGTACATTGAGTATCATAACATACCTAGAAGCGTTAGGTATGTTCAGTGCCTAGGGTTTATTCCAGGGTTTTAGTTGTCCCTTATCCAACAACCACCGGGTTCGGGTCATAACTAACCGCTGGTTGACGTCCGTGGCTCAAGTGCCCAAAAAGGTCGGGTGCTTGGTTTGTTTAATGGGGTTATCGAAGGATACCGTGGTTGGTTCCCTTGTTCGGTCCCCTGTTTTCACTGGTTATCAGCCGTAGGTGCTTTTTGGGGAAGTCTAATCCTTCGATAACTTCTGGTTTAGGCCCCTTTATTTTTCCCGCACTTCCGTCATTGACCGTGCATGCCCTCAGATAGCTCCGAAAGGGTCGCTGCTGATTACAGCGCGACACCGGAAACTCCAGTGGAAGGAGCCAACGCTCTAGGGGAAGCAGAAGGTGTTGAGAAGTTTAATCCACCAACTGCTGAACCGGGCGCCGCGGCCTCCCGAAACTGGGCGGATCTATCTGAGGATATTCTGTCGCCCGTGCTGTCTTTTGGTGAGGCGCCCACTTCTGCAGATCGAGCCCAAGGACATCTGACAGACGTGAAGGAAGAGCTCAGGAGACATCAAGTTCGGGTGCTGTGCCTTCAACATTTTTCTTGCCTGACGGGGTCGCCGACGAAAACGTCGCGACGGATTTTGCGAGCCACGTTTCAGACCCTGCCACAGCATTGAACATCCCCGAAGAAGTCCTTGCAGAGGCTGCCTTTACAGACTCAGGTCCAGTGGAGGAAGAAGGTCAGAACAGTTTTGCATTTCCGTCGATCCTGTCAGAACAAGCGCAAATTGAAGCAGCCGACAATTTTTCGGTAGAGGTCGCTGGTGACAATACCGCGACGGACAAGGTTTCTGGTGAAATAACTTTTTCCGAAGTTTCTGGATTGGAAGGCGCCAATAACAGTCTGGAGCTTGTCAAAAAGGAAGAAGATCAACAGACACTTGGTCCAGCCTCTACTGAAGCCGTCATTGAAGCTGCCCATCAAACTGAAGGTACTACAACAACCAACTTAGGTGAAGACGCAATTGTTGCAGCCGTTGTCAAAGCTGAAGTTGACCCCAAGAGTCCTGAAGCTGACGCTTCTGACATTGCAGCATCCGTCCAACCTGAGACCCAAAGCTCAGGCCATAGTGTAGAGCCAGTTGCAGTAGGATCCCAAGAAGCATCCGAACCAGCCTGTGCATCCGCTAAGCCTGAGGTCGTTGACACAACCGTTGTCACGACAGGTAACCCAGGTGTAAGTGTAGACTCAGCCCCCTTAGGAGCCCCTGAAGTTTCTAATCCAAAAGCTGAATCCACTGAACCTGGGGTCGCTGACACTTCCGTTGTCGCGACATCCAATACACAACTAGACACATCTGTTTTTGTTGCACCACCCACTAGTCCCAACTTAGTTGAGCCTGGTGTTGAGCCCATCCGTACTGGTCACTCTCCCTCCGCTCCATCTGCAGGTCCAAGACAACGCACTCGACAGAGGAGTTCACGCGGTGGGCAGACCACACGAAACCAGGAAGCCACCCGGGCTTGGTTTAGTGACCTAGATACTTTTAGGGATTGGTTGTATCAAAATACAGGTGGGAGGTCAGGTCGTGGTTTCTGGCTAGGCCGATATCTTTTAGACGGTGTTGACACTGACCAAAAGTGGCAAGTCGCTAATCATCAAGCCATAGCAGATTATCTGACCGTAACCCAGTGTTTAGTCCTTACATTTAACTTGTGGCCTGAATACGAAAATTGGGCCCTTGCAAACGGCCTGGACAGGAGACGTGGTATTGGACACGGCCGTAACGCAGTTGAAAAGGGCATACTACCCCCAAAGCGTATCATTAACTTGAACATTTTGGGTAGTGAATTCCCTCCTCAAGAAAGCTGGGATTACTATAATAGGTACGTAGGCCCAAACGCCCCTGCGAAGCCCAAAGCTCGGGCCGCTGCCCCGGCTTCGGCTGGTGGCGCGGCAGCTACACGACCGCCAGAGCCCAAAGAGCCGCCAAAAGCTGCATCGCCAAAGGCACAGCAGCCGAAGGCACCAGCCTCTGGCTGGCAACCAACTTTGCGTGCTGCGGATCAAGTTGTACAGCAAGCCGAGTTTAGCAGTGTCCACACTTCATCATCCGTCCGCCCGTTGCCAAAGCAATCGCGAGGGGTCGTTGCTCCCAAAGAGCGCGACGCAGCAGTAGTTTCATCTGAGGGTTCTGGTAGTGCTCCAACAACTGTAGCAGCCCCAAAAGTCCCCAAAGATAAACCTGTTGTGTCAAAGCCCTCGCCACCACCACCAAAGCAGCCGCAAGGGGTCGCTGTTCCCAGAGGACGCGACGCAACAGCCATCGCATCCGAAGGTTCCAGTAGTGCTCCATTAGGTGTAGCCACTCCAAAAGTTCCTAAGGTTGAACCTGTTGCGAAGCCTTTGCAGCCGCCAAAACATCAGCAAGGGGTCGCTGTTCCCAAAGAACGCGGCACAACAGTGATTGCAGCCAAAGCATCCGGTAGTGCTCCATCAAGTGCAGCCGTGCCTGAAGCTCCAAAAGCTGATCCTGTTGTAAATCCCTTGCCAGAATCTAATAATCCCAAAGGAGTCGTTGTTTCCAAAGAACACGACACATCAGCCACTGCGCAAAAGGTTTTAGATACTACCCAAATAATTGAAGTAGTCCCTAAGATTCCCAGTAGTCCAGCTGTTGTAAACCCTTTGACTAAGGCTAAGCTCCCATCACCCCCATCATCACCACCACCTGTAGTCCCTTCTAATATTCCACCACCGCCACAGCATCCGCCGCCAACACCGGAAGAGCTCGCTGCGCGAGCTCCGGCTTTTGCCAAGGCGCGCGAGACAGTGGGGGGGAATCAGGAGGAAGAGGAGGAAAGTTTTGAGGTTGAAAGTGAGGAGGAGCCAGCACCTGTTGCCAAAACTGCATCTCCAAGGGAGAGGCACACCAAAAGAAATAGGTCCAACCCACCTTTGCCTGTTAATCTTTTGTCTAGAGAAGCCAGGGAGCAGATTGAGCTTGCTCGTGAACTCCGTGCAGCTGGTTATCCAGACACACGTGTGGATTCAGCAGGAACTTGGGTGCGGGTCGCCGGACCTTCGGTCGCGACAGCTGCAGAGCGTCCAGTTGCTCATCCTGTGGTAGTTCCTGGAACTGAGACTCAAGAAGTTGAGGGCATTGATCCTTACAAACTGGAGGACGCCGCCTGGCAGAATCCATCCTTGAGCTCTCGTCGGGTCGTGTTGGTCACCCCAAACTTGCAGTCTTCGGACATTGTAAATTTGACCACACGTGATCCTGACACCGAGGAGGAAGGCACAGAAGACCCTGCACTGGCATCACAAAGATTTCAAGAGACTGGTAGAAGTTTCATTGCAGCGGCTAGTGCTGAGCCCATTGAAGCCGACCCAGTAACTTTTGAATCGCGACCACCTAAAGTGCCACCCCCAAAGAGGCAAAAGGTAACTATCAAAATAACCTCTAGGGATTATAAAGACCCAAAATCAGCAGCATCGTCGCCAAAAGACACCTCAGAGTCCTCACCAAAGTTCCCACAGGGCATTGTGCATCCGTGGAGAAAACAAGAGGGCGCTGCGGCAGAATCCCCAAAGTCTGCTGCCTGTGGGGTCGCTGCGGAATCCCGCGCGACAGGTGCCGTTGACAGGTCTAGATCCCCAAGAAATCTAACATCTACACCCTCTGAACCAGTTCAGCATAGCTCATCACCTGTTAACCTAAGAGGTAGATCCCCCAATAAAAGTGGTAAGGAGCCATTGAGACCCCCTCCACCGAAGAGGGCAAGTTCTCAGCCATTGTCATCAGCAACCACCAAAAGGATTGCTAGGGAGGCTGTTGCTCCCGGCACGCCACAGGTTACTGTTGCAAAGGCCAAAACAAATAAGGCTCCCCCACCGGGTGTTCGACCAGGAGCTCCCCCGCCAAAAGCTAGGCTAGCTCCACCACCACAAGATAAGCCAAAACTCCCTTTTAAAGCACCTCCTGGCCACCTTCCCTATAAGGCGCCACCTGGGTACTTGAAGGAGCAGGCTTCTAGTGGAAAGGCATTCTTGGGAACAGATCCAACAGAGCCAAAAGCACCTGCTGGACAGGCAGAAGGGGCTGCTGCCGCACCTGTGGCGCAGCGGGGTGAAGAGTCGAGCGGAGCTCCAAGTGCACCTTCGGGTTCGCACGCTCCCTACTCTGCCCCTGTAGATTCAGTGCCTGGCAATATCAAAATTTGTCTCGATTGGCACGATACGCTTGACCAAGCGTTAAACCACCAAGGCTCCTTTGATCAACACCTAATTGATAAATTCAATAAGGTAATCTTAGCAGCAAATAACAGGGTCGAGTTCCATATCCTTTCATACGCTGGATTCAGCAAAGTTGAGTCCACCCGCCAAGGCGCGAACCACTTGATAAGTCAACTAAGATCCCTAGGCCTTCCCTTTGAGCAATTGCACCTAGCAAAGCATCCTTGTGGAACCCAAGGGAAAAGCAGCGTGCTTCATCAACTTGGTGCGCATTCTTTGGTCGACGACCGTTCCGACGTAGTCGCTGAGTGCTCCCATTCTGGTGCCCGTTGTTTTAGGGCTGCTGGCAGGCACGACCGTGCCCTGTCCTTCCTTACCTTAGTTGAAGAGTGGCTCAAGCAAGAAGGCGTTGATAGTATTCTACAGCGCAGAGCCGCAAGGGCCGTGCCAAAGGAACATCTTCGCCCGCCTTTTGGCGACAAACAGCGGTGATTTTGGAGCTCCGCCCCAACAGTAGTAGGCATTGGCACAAGTCCGGTGAACCTACGCAATCGACATAGGTTCCCAAGGGTTAGGGTAGCTGTGCACCGCACGCTACTTGCATCCGGTCGTCCTTGTCTTTCTGTGGTTTGTTGCCGCCTGCAGCACTCCACCTGCATCCGGAAAGTTTTAAGTCGTGGTCAGAGTCAGGGTAATTACCGCTGTCGAAGCCACAGCTTATAATTTTCCACAAAAGCTGTTAATTAATTTGGCACTTTACTGTTTTGCTATATCCAGCCTTGTAAAGTGTAGTTGGTTAATTCAGTGCTGTGCCTTTGGTCCGTCGTTGTCCTTTTTCCGTGGTTTGTTGCCGCCTGCAACATTCCGCTTGCATCCGGAATTTTTAAGTTGTGGTCAGAGCCAGGGCCATTACCGCTGTCGAAGCCATAGCTTATACTTTTCCACAAAGGTTGCCAATATCTTTTTCACTTTATTGTACCCTTTATCCAACTTTGTGAAATCATAGATTGGTTGGTTCAATACTGTGTCTTTTCAAGCCCTCATAAGGTTCCCACAGGGCATTGTTCACCCGTGGAGAAAGCAAGGGGGTGCTGCGGCAGAATCTCCCAAATCTGCTGCCTGGTCTTTCGCTGTCGTTTGTAATCCGTTGCTTGGGACGCTGTGCAAAGCACGCGTCGGATCTGAATTGAGTTGCGGCATCCTGTAAAAGGTTGTGTTTCTTGGAGTTAGGATGCCCGGAGACATCCCACAACGTGATCCTGGTATGCCCAGTCGATCTAGGTACCCCTCCGAAGCCTCCCAAAGGTACTTCAACGTAGCTCTTGTTCCCGGTGAACCTAATGTTTTAACTCCACGAAGGGTTGAAGCTCAATCTATTGGGGATGCCACGCATGTAGAAGGAATGCCTGATACTAGCCTGGAGGAGTCCCATAACAACAATAGTTTGTTTAGGCATCGGTTACCCTTAGGTCCTTTTCCAAGCAATAGTCCAAACCCCAGCATTTCTGTAGGACCCACTATACCACAAAATCTCCATGTGGGTGCTGATGTTTCCGACACGCACCATGCCACCAGTTTAGGGGACTATGTTGGTTCCGTAGCCTTCCTATCACATCCTATGACCCAGCAACCCGGACAAGCTGCCGTGCATTTGCGCGCTGAACCCGTTCAGGTCGCTGCTTTCGAGCGCGACGCAGCACTTGCGGCCATCCTGCTCGACCAGGAGAGAGCCATTGCAACTCCGGATGAAGGGGATGGGGGTGTGGGGATAACTGGGTTTAGTATATCTCAGTTCGCCCAACAAGGTAATCTTGGGGATAGGCCATCGTTACAGCAAGAAGTCCAATCTGAACATCCGGTGACACATGGGGAGGTAGACCAAAGGGTTGAAACTACAGTTAGACCACCTCAAAATAGGCCAATGTTGGGTAATCAACATGCAGCTATTAGGGAGTTTGGGATAACCGAGACGGATTCTAGGATGTTCCCCAATGAACATCAGCTGGCCGCAACCCAGCAGCGACATAGTGTTGCACTAGTTTCCCCGGATTCCATTAACCCTTCCTATCAAATCCTGGATAATCAAAATGTGTTTGAAGACCTTGATCAAGTCCCATCCACTTTTGTCCAATACCCCAATCTAGTTGCCAATGACATGTTGTCCCCAACTCGCCTACAACATGCCCCAGATCCAATGAAGGTGGTCGCATTCCCAACCGATGTCAATGTGACTGGTCGGGAGATCCCCACGGTTTCTGGTGGTCCCTCAATTTTGGGTAATCAACAATTAGCTGACATGGGGATCGGGATAACCGTAAGGGATTCTAGGATTGCTCTCAATGAGCATCAGCTGGCTGCAACCCAGCAGCAACACCGTGTTGCACTAGTTCCCCCGGATTCCGTTAATTCTCCAGCCCAAACTTTGGATAGGCAATATGTGTTTGAAGATCTGAGTGCGGTCCCATCCACTGCCGTTCAATGTCCCAATCCAGCTAGTCCATTGTTGTCCCCAAATAATCCTCAAATATCAGACACTTTGCAGGTGGTTGATGTCCCAACTGTCGTAGAGGCGACTGGTCGGGTTGCCCCCAATGTCTCTGGTAGGGATTTTGGAATAACCGTAAAGGATTCTAGGATGTTCCCCAATGAACATCAGCTGGCTGCAACCCAGCAGCGACACTGTGTTGCACTAGTCTCCCCGGATTCCATCACTGGCCCTCCTACACAATTAGGAGAAAGCCAATCTAATTTACAAAATACATCAGGCACTTTGCAAATGGTTGCTGTCCCAACTGTCGTAGAGGCGACTGGTAGGGTTAACCCCAAAGTCCCTGGTGGTGGCTTTCCTGCGCAACCAGGAGAGAACCACTATCAATTGTCTAATGTAGCCGCACAAAATGCTGTAGCATCCATGCCCCAGTCCTTTCACCACTCGGGTATCTCACCCGCCCCTGTAGTGGCGAACCACCAGCTCGCAGAGTTAGTCACAGTGTCTAGCTTGCCCATAACACTAAATGTTATGGCGCCTAGTGCAACAGCTGTAAGTGGCTCGAACACATCAGAGTCAGTTTTGGTTCAACAACTCCAAGCTGAGGTGTTAAGGTTGTCAGAGGCATTGCAATTGCAACAGCAGCAGCTTCAACAGATGCAACAACAATTACAATCTAGGGCGAACACACAGCTACAGGAGGTGGCTTCAACAAGACCCAGTCTTTCAGCTAACTTGCCTACAGCATCTAATGCTGTTGTGCCTTGTGCACATGCTGTAAGTGATTCGAACCCAGCTTTGGCAAAAGCACACCAAGTAGTAGCATCAGCCGGTGCGCCCCCAGCATCATTTGCACAGGGCGCTGCCTCTGGCACGCCACTAGGGATAGGTCTTAGTCATGCGAGCCATGCGGGTACACCATGTGGTAATTCGACTCGTCGAGCCACAGGAAGTGAGTTATTCCCGCAGCAGGTGCTTCCTCCGGTGGTGCCACCATTGCCATTGCACCTTGTCCGACGAGGTGCCCAACACTCAATGCCATCATATTATCACCACAAAAGTTCACGTAGGTCTGTTGACTCTTCGAGCTCAGGGTCATCATCCGACAGTTCCTCCTTATCACCTGTAGATTTCGCGAGACGGGAAGCCAAGACCGTTATGGTAACGTCCCTGACTAACCTGGTTTTTCCCCACCCTCCTGTTAATGCAGGTGAATCTCGAGGTTACATGAACCAGGTGTTAATGGCCATAGGCAAACTTCAAAAGACCCCTGGTAATGAACTTTACTTGTGGGCCCAGGAGTGCCTAACCTTAACAGAGGAAGAGCTCCAAGCCGACCCTCCCTACCCTCGCACTGACCGCGAAGTAGCATCCAAGCTCTTAGGAACTTGCAAAGGCGGAAAGTTTGGACTCCTCTTCAATCAGATGTTAGAATCTGAGCGCGCTGCTAGTGGGGCTATGCCCTGCGGGCGCGCGATGTTGCGTAGAATATTTAAATATTTCCAGCTAGAGCGTGGCCGCCTTGGCATGCTCGGCGAAAGGAATTTGCTGTCCCTTAAGGTCCCCGGTAACACTGTAGCCGATCTAGTTACCTTTAGAGACACCTATATCTACGTAATGTCAACAATTCCTACAGAGGATTTGCCGCGACCGCAAACGTTGTTTAACCATCTTATCGACGAGCTTGAGCACCATGATGTAATGGCCTCCAAGGTCATTAAAGCTAGGGAAGCCCGACTAGATAGCCATCGTCGCACAACTGAGTGGTTATGGTCTAAAGTTGAACTAGCCATCCAACTGGAGCAGCAAGAACGCAATCGCCGAGATTTTGATGAACAGCTAGGTCTAACACCAGCGGCAGGGTACTTCGGTACCAATCCACCTCCCGATGACGACATCGCTGGTGCCCCGGCACCAACCCCAGACCCAGGCTCGGAGAACACTCCTGAATCTCCAACAAGTCAGGGTTCAGGGGGGGGTGAGACCGAAGAGGATATGCAGGCAGCCCCTACCCAAAAGGCTAGACCCGTAGGATTAAAGCAGCCTCCATCCACTGATGTGGATAGCACGAACCCTAAGGGGAAGAGGACCAAGAGAGCAGCCCGTAAATCGGCAGCCGAGAAGGCCACCACCCCTTGCATGTTCTTCGCGTACAATGCATGTAGGGCAGAATCGTGCGCATTCCTCCACTCTGAAACCAATAAATATCGAGGACCTCCTCCTAGATCACTTAGGAAAGGTAATAAAGCCCCTCCTAATGTTCATGCTAGCGTAGCAACTGTGATAGTCCCAGAGATCGCTGTCTCTGACGCGATTAAACCTGTAATCACTGCCATGCCTTTCGAAGCTTCCACAGCCATCCCTTGGCTATGGGACACTGCAGCAGGTCGACACCTCATTGGACGCCAAGCCCTCACACCATCCATGCGGGAGAGTGTACAGCACTCTCCAAATCCCGTAGCTTTCGCTACCGGAGGTGGCAGCCAATCCGGCAAAGGATCCCTGACATTTAGTGGCAGTAAGATTCTTGATGGTGAAGAGGTCTATGTTCTAGAGGAATGCCCTCCAGCACAAAGTATAGGTAAAGCAGTCATAGATAAAGGTTACATGTTCATCTGGGATCCACGGGAGAGTGTCCCATATCTAATAGCTCCCGAAAACGTCGATAGATGCAGGCTAAAAGTTCCCAGGAACGCTAAAATCTGCGCATCTAGGGTGGTAGAATACGTCCCACAATATGATGAAGAACTGACTCCATGTTCATTTGATCCAAATGAGCGCCCTGCTCCGGTACCAAATGCAATGCCAGCTTCATCCGTAGGACCCAAGACACTTGTAGAAGTAGATGATTCCAATAACCATGGTAATTCGTCAATCCCTACGTATAATGTCTTTCCACCCGCAAAAGATGTAGTAACAGATCTAGCACCTGAATCTGTTGGTGACGTTGTTGGTTTGGCTAACACATCGGGGTCTAAAATGGTCGTTGTCGATGTTTCCAACG